CATACGGAGGTTAGGCTGCCCGCTAGCAAACACCAAATAGTCTAAAAATGTTATCCACATTTAAAACTGCACACAAACACACCTTCCTTCAGCACACTACCACAAAAAATATTGAAAATCCAACATCCATTGGGGAATACTTGAAGTCATATAGGAGAATTAATATTAAAGTATTTTAAATTTAACCTTAGAATTCAGAATTACCCATTACTGTATAATCTGTTTCCAAAAATTAGGAGGAAAATTGAATATCATAATAATAATAAATCATGAACTCTTACATGTCCAGAGACAACTCCTACGATGTTGAATACTTGCTTGGCTCCGTTAACGCCTGGTGTTATTTTAAATGTTGCATCAAGGAACAAGTGAGTTAATACTCGAGAGTTTCCATATCTTTTGATGAACTCTTCATTGTAAAAAAATATATGTATAATTGCATCCTGATCTTCTATAATTTGAATTGAAACTGTTTCTTCTGTAGTACCCTTGAATATGTTGTCATATTTTCCTTCATCGATATCCTGAGCCCAGTTCTGCATCGATAAAGGATTCGTTGGGTAAACTTCAGCTCTCCATCTTCTCATCGTTGACTTCATACCCTTATAGATTATAAATTTAGCTGCCTTTTCAAAACTGAAAAAAGATATCGGTTGTTGCTACAGCTATTTACATATTATGTATTATTAAACCGTGTTCCTACACGAGTATTGATTGGCGTAAACAAGTGACCAGAGTTGCCGGGAAAAAGTACCAGTTAATTGTATGTATGTGTAAAACGATTAATGATTAAAATGGCATTAGTTACTGGAATCGGCTACAAGTGCGTGTTCACAACATGAATGCGAAAGTTGTCCCTTACAATTTGAGTACATGATTTTTTGCAATGTGTGTGGAAAAACAAGATCAAATTAAACAAAGAGTTAGTTGTTAAATTTATGTCAATTTGCATATTGATGCATACCCTTATGTATGCGTACAATAAATCTCGCAATACTCGTGCGCTGGCATGAAGGCAGTTATACAAACTAAACAATGAAAAAACAAACAATAGTAAAGTACAGTTTCCAAAAAAACAATATGAAATATAGTTAAAAATTATTTTGTACTCACAGTTATAAATATTAAACCATAATTAATGAGAAAAATTAGAATATTTAACGCTGGTATATAATTCTTACCAAGACAATTTCTACAGAGTTAAGAAGCAGTGCACCCTTGAGGGGGTGGTCGAAGTACTTTCGTTAAAGAACCATTACATAAGATTAAGTAACAAATGTACAAACCCATGTTACAGAAAGTGAACGAAGCTCACTTAATAAACAAAATTTTATAATTTTAATTTTAAACAAAAAAAGAAATTTATAAGAAAT